GTGCATTAGGGTAATAGAACAGAGTGAAGAACACAATGTTACAGCTGCAGAGAAGGTGCACAGTGAGTGAGATCAACATTAAGTTGAAAATTTGAGAGGTCTGTTCAGAAGTCTAGTAACAGTGGAGAAGACGCTGAGATGTTAAATGGAAATTTTGCGTTTGTCTTTACTAAGGATGTAGATGCTCTCTTTACCAGTATATTCAGTGGCATTGTATACTACGGCAACGGTATTAGCTGCATCAATCTTTCTGTGGCCTCTTTTAAAAATTCCAGCAAGTTAGTCAAATGCAATTTCTCCTTTGGATATCCATGCTGGTTTTCCTAAGTAACCCTCCTTTACCCATCTGACTGCTATTTCTATTCCAAGTAATTATATCTAGATGTTTCTCCAGCACTTGAGGTTAAATTGACTGTTCTGTAATTGCTGGCCTATCTTTACAACCTTTATTGAACAAGGACAAAATGCCAGCAATTCTTAACTCCTCCAGCACCTCAGTTGAGTCCAGGGAAGACTGAAAGACTGTGGCCAGTACCACTGCAATTTCTACTCTCACTTCCTCGGATGCATTTCATCCAATCCTGGTGCTTTGTTAACTTTGAAGTGTCGCTAGCCTATCCAACACTTATCATATCTAATCACTAATCATATTATCACCATACTTTTACTTTTGATGCGCTGTCTGAAGGAGTAGATTCAGTAATCAGAGATCAGAAAGTGTTGTAGTGACTGGAGCCAATGACTTTCATCTTTCCAATTTTTAATTCCAGCACTGGATGTGTGATAAGTAATTTGATTAACTAGTAAAAGTGGAGGAATGGAGAGAGATGATGGTGAGGTACAGCTGGGCATTGTCAGTGTATATACAGTAATAGAGTTATACAGCACAGAAACAGACCCTTCAGTCCAACTTGTCTATGCTGACCAGATATTCTAAACTGAACTATTCCCATTTGCTTGCATTTAGCCCATATTCCTCTAAACTCTTTTTATTCATGTACCCAAATGTTGTAATTGTACCTGCCTCCACCACCTCCTCTGGCATTTCATTCCATAAGTGCACCACCCACTGTGTGAAAATGTTGCCACTCAGGTCCCTTTTCGCTTTCACTTTATCCATATGCTGTTTGGCTTTGGACTCCCCTTCCCTGGGAAAAAAACTCTTTGGTTATTCACCCTATCCATGGCCCTCATGATTTTAAAAACCTCTAAACCACCCGTCAACCTCCGATGCTCCAAGGATAAAAGCCCCAGCATGTTCAGCCTCTCCCTATAACTCAAACCCTCCAATCCCTGCAACATCCTTGCAAATCTTTTCGGCACAGGGAGACCAGAATTGAATGCAGTATTCCCTAAAAGTGGCCTCACCAATGTCCTGTACAGCCACAACATGATGTCCTGACTCCTGCACTGACCAATGAAGACAAGTGTGTCAAATGCCTTCATCGCTACCCTGTCCACCTGTGACTGCAATTTCAAGGAACTATGCACCTGTACCCCTAGGTCTCTTTGTCCAGTAATACACCCCAGGGTCCTACCATTAACCATGTAAGTCCTGCCCTGGTTTGCCTTACCAAAATGCAACACCTCACATCTATCGCAATTAAACAGCATCTGCCATTCCTTGGCTCTTTTCGTCAAGTTTCTGTGGTACTCTGAGATAACCTTCTTCATGATCACTGCACCAGCAATTTTGGTGTCATCTGCAAACCTAGTAACTGTACCTCCTGTACTCACATCCACATCCAAAATGCAGTGGACCCAGCACTGATCCTTGCCAGACACTGCTGGTCATAGGCCTCCAGTCTGAAAAACACCACCTCTACTACTACTGAGATAATGAGAACTGCAGATGCTGGAGTCAGAGATAACAAAGTTTGGAGCTGGAGGAACACAACAGGCCAAGCAGCATCAGCGGAGCAGGAGAGCTGACATTTCAGTCGGGACCCTTCTTCAGAAAACGAAGGGTCCCAACCCGAAATGTCAGCTTTCCTGTTCCTGTAACACTGCCTGGCCTGCTGTGTTCCTCCAGCTCCACACTTTGTCACCTCTACTACCTCTGTCTCCTACCTTCAAGCCAATTTTGTATTTAATTGGCCAGCTCCCCCTGGATTCCTTGTGATCTAACCTTACTAACCAGTCTGCCATGCGGAGCCTTGTCACATGCTTTGCTGAAGTCCTTTTGGATAACATTTACCACTCTGCCTTCATCAATCTTCTTTGTCACCTCTTCAAAATGCTCAATCAAGTTAATGAGACACGGTTTCCCATACACAAAGCCATGTTGACTATTCCTAATCAATCTCTGCCTTTCCAAATGCAGGTAAATCCTGTCCCTCAGAATCCCCTCCAATAACTTGGGTGGCACGGTGGCTCAGTGGTTAGCACTGCTGCCTTACAATGCCAGGGGCCAGCGTTTGATTCCACCCCTGGGTGACTGTGTGGAGTTTGCACATTCCCCCTGTGTCTGCGTGGTTTTCCTCCGGGTGCTCTGGTTCCTCCCCACAGTCCAAAGATATGCAGGCTAGGTGGATTGTCCATGCTAAATTGCCCATAGGGTGGGTTATGGGGGGATGGGTCTGGGTGGGATGCTTTGAGGGTTGGTGTGGATTTTTTGGGCCGATGGGCCTGTTTCCACACTGTAGGGATTCTATGAACACTTATATAAGGCACACTAGTCTATAGTTCCCTGGATTTTCCTTACCACTTTTATTAAATAATGGCACCACGTTAGCCAACCTCCAGTCTTCTGGCATCTCATCCACGGCTGTCGATAATACAAATATCTCAGCAAGGGGCCCAGAAATTACTTTCCTAGCTTCCCACAAAGTTCTGGGATTTACCTGATCAGGTCTCAAGGATTTATCTACCTTTATGCATTTTAAGACCTCCAGCACCTCCTCTTCTGTAATGCGGTTGCTTTTCAAGACATCACTATTTATTTCTCCAGGTTCTGTGGCTTCCATACCCTTCTCCACGGTAAATCCTGATATGAAATATTCATTTAGTATCTCATCCACCCCCTGTGGTTCCACACAAAGAAGATCTCATTGATCATTAAGGAGCCCAATTCTCTCCCTCGTTACTCTTTTGCCGTTAATGTCTTTGTAGAATTCCTTGGATTCTCCTTAACTCTATTTGCCAAAGTTATCTCATGTCCTCTTTTTGCCCTCCTGATTTGCCTCCCTTATTCTTCTCTCAGAATTCACTTGATCTCAGCAGTCTATACCTGACACATGCCTCCTTCTTTTCCTTGACCCAAACCTCAATTTCTCTAGCTATCCAGCATTCCCTACACCTATCAGGCCCAGTCCCGTGCACTAACAGGAACTCTCATTATCTCATTTTTGAAGGCCTCCCACTTTCCAATCATCCCTTTTCCCGCAAAAAGCCTCCCCCAATCAAGTTTTTGCAAGTTCTTGCCTAATACTGTCAAAATTGGCCTTAGTCCAATTTAGAACTTTTAGATCAAGTCAAACCTTTTCCATAACTATTTTAAAACTAATAGAATTATGATCACTTGCCCTGAAGGGCTTCCCCAGTGACACCTCAGTCACTTGTCCTGCCTTATTTCCCAAGAGAAAGTCAAGTTTTGTCTTTCCCTAGTAGGTACATCCACATATTGAATAAGAAAACATTCTTCTACACACTTAACAAATTCCTCTCCATCTAAGCCCTGAACACTGTGACAGTCCTAGTCTATGTTTCGAAAGTTAAAATTCCCCTACCATTACAATCTTATTATTCTTACATATATCTGAGATCTCCTTAAACATTTACTTCTCAATTTCCTGCTGACTACTGGAAGCCCTATAGTACAATCCCAATAAGGTGATCATCCCTTTTTTATATTTCAGTTCCACTCATGTAACTTCAATGGATGTCTGCCAGGATTATCCTCAAGTACAACTGGAACGTTATCCTTAACCAAAAACCCCACTTCCCCTCCTCTCTTGCCCTCCATTTCTATCCTTCTTGTAGCATTTATACCCTGGAACATTAAGCTGCCAGTCTTATCCCACATTTTTGTAATTGCTATGATATCCCAGTCCCTTGTTCTAACCATGCCTTAAGTTCATCTGTCTTACCTGTCAGGCCTCTGCATTAAAGTAAATGCAGTTTAATTTATCAGTCTTACCTTGTTCTCTGCCATGGCCTGCCTTGACTATTTATGTCTTGACTCCCCTTATCTAGTGTACCATTCTCAGACCTATCGTTTTTTCTCACCCCGCCCCTTTACTAATTTAAAGCCTCTGCAGTAGCACTAGCAAATTTCCCCAACAGGATATTGGTCCATATGAAAAATAACACACTGTTTTTGGATGATATCACTTAAAAGCAGCATATAAATGAGAAAGAGGAGGGACTAAGGATATATATACCAAAAAGAGCCAAGTACAAGACTTTGGAGAGGAAAGGAATGGTGGAGATAGGTCAGGAGTTTGGAAGGACGGTGGGTGATGATAGTGAGTTTAAAGATGAGGGGGACAGCACAAGGAGAGAACTATAAACAATATGGGAAGATTGGGCAGTCAGCAGTTAAGACAGCATCTGATCGCGGGAGCAGAGGTGGGTCTCATTGAGAAGATCAACTCTAACAGGGCAGCAGAGAAGAGGGAAGAGCAACTAGAGGAATCAGCAAGATGTGGGGTTGATCAGGGAAGAACACTGGAGACAGTTTGGCCTGATGGCCGAGTGGAAGGAGGGTGGTTGCAATGTTCATGTGAAAGAAACTCCACAAGCCCCTTACAGTTGTTATTGCAGGTGAGGATGGAGAAGACAGACGAGGGGCGAGCCCTTCAAAAGGATCTAGGTTGTTTGAGATATTAAAAAGACTCAACACCCTGTGTTTCAGAAAAAGCTGAATTGTTTGATCTTTATTTAAAACATCCGCTCCCGTAATTGACTTATGGCTTAGGAACATCAGCAGAAATAAACCCCAGTGAACACAGTTCAGTTCTAGATGTGATTGAACAGCAAAATCCAATCTTTGACATTACTGGTGAACTTGCTGATGTGTCAGCAGGGTAGTTGAGGAAGTGAATCCCTTTCCACACTCAGAGCAGGTGAACGGCCTCTCCCCAGTGTGAACTCGCTGGTGTACAGTGAGGTCAGATGATCGCCTGAACCCAGTTCCACAGTGAGAGCACCTGAATGGTCTCTCATCTGTGTGCACACGTTGATGGGACATCAGTTCCCCAGAACTTTTATAGCACTTCCCGCAGTTTTCGCATTTGAAGGGCCTTTCACTATTGTGAACGAGTTGGTGTCTCAGGAGGTTGGACAACTGAGTGAATCCCTTCCCACACTCAGAGCAGGTGAATGGCCTCTCCCCAGTGTGGATCTGCTTGTGTCTGAGCAGGTCGAACGAGCGAGTGAATCCTTTGCCACAGGCTGAGCAGGTGAAGGGTCTCTCCCCAGTGTGACTGCGCTGGTGGACAGTGAGGTGAGACGATTGTCTGAACCCAGTGCCACAGTGACAGCACCGGAACGGTCTCTCCCCATTGTGAACTCGTTGGTGTTTCAGGAGGTGGGATGATCGAGTGAATCCCTTCCCACACTCAGTGCAGGTGAAGGGCCTCTCGCCAGTGTGAACCCGCTGGTGTGTCAGCAGTTCGGACGACTTAGTGAATCCCTTCCCACACTCCAGGCAGGTGAATGGCCTCTCCCCAGTATGAGTGCGCTGATGAATTTCCACTTCGAAGGGGTAGTTGAATCCTTTCCCACAGTCCCTGCATTTCCATGGTTTCTCTCCAGTGTGGCTACGCTTGTGCCTTGACAAGCCAGAGGATCGATTGAAGCCTTGTCCGCATTCAGAACATGTGTACATTTTCTCTCCTTCCATGTTCAAAATGCGATGAAATTCAGATCCTGCTGAGTGTCTCCCTCAATTCTTGGTGTTTCGTTTGTGCTTCTTGCCTGAAGATTGTCCTTTTCCAAAGCCCTGTAAAATATATTTAAAACAGGAAGAAAAACACAAAGGCAGGCTGTGAAATGGAAGTGAATGAATTTGTGGGCTGGTGCTGGGGATAAAAGTAACAGTAAAAGAGGAGGTCATAAAAACCCACTGGTTCATTCATATCCTTCAGGGGAAGTACCCAGTTTGGACTTACATAAGACTGTGACCTCTCTGGGAGAGAGACAGGTGGAAAAGGACAAAAGGGAGATAGACTTCAAACATCTGTAGCTCGACCAGATGTTTGACAGAATCTCCCAAATCCACAAACACACCCTTTGGAAAGACACGGGAGAGAGAACAGATTTAACGTTTCGAGTCTAATAGGACTCTTTTACAGAACAATTTTTCAGATTTAACATGCACAGATCGTGCATGAGTTAATATTTGACAAAGCAATTCCCAACCTTGTACCAATTTTGTCTAAAGAAACATTTCTACATTCACTCCTGAAAAGTCTGTCTCTCAGTTTTAGTCCCTGTCCCCTCATCCTGGTTTTCGCAAACAGTCAAAATAGTTCCTTTCTCATCAACATCACCAATTCCAATTTAAATCCTGAAAGCTTTGATCAAATCAAATTTTAACTGATTGAATTTCAGAAATACATCCCTCAAATTAGGAAATGCTGGAAGAAAACAGCAGATATAGCAGCTTCTGCACAGACAGAAACAGGGTTAACATTTCAAGATTGTTTTCTTGGAATATACAATGAGGTGAAACATTTTGGCAGAAGCAATAGGGACAGTGACTATATATTGAATTTTACAGTTTTAAAGAGTTTGCGGGACTTGGGGGCTAATGTGCAAAACCGTTAAAGGTAACAGGATATATTGAGGGAGAAGTTTGCAAAATATATGGGATCTTTGGCTTCATAAATAGAAGTAATGAGAACAAACTCAAGAAAAACTATGTTGGCTGAATAAAGGAAATTTAATTACAAGGTTAGTTTGGGGTCATTCAGCTTTAAGAAAAGGATTTGAGGCAAGATTTCATAGAGGTGTACAAGGTTTAAACAGGTTTAGATTTGGTAGACAAAAGAAAAGCTGTTTCCAGTGGATGATGAGACAGGGATTGGGGATACAGGTTTAAAGTGTCAGGGAAGGAATAGAAGGCCAAGAATTATTTGTTTTGCATTGACGGGTAATATGCAGAATCTACTACCCATAATGGTGGCAGAATTGATTCTATTAATGATTGATGAAGGAAATTGGATGAGCGCTTGTGGGGGAAATAAACTTGCAGGGCTTTGGGGAAAGAGCAGGGGATTGGGACTGACTGGATTATTTTGCAGAGAACCTGAATGGGCTTAATGTTCACTTTCTGTACCATAATGAATCTATACCAGATTTTCTTAACCCCTGCTCATAACCTAACCATACTTGAATATCTTAGTACTTTTACAGTCACATATGGATCTGAAATTTTTTCCAACAGACAAAACAAACCTTTTGCCTTCCACTGTCAAATGCTGTTGATATTCAGGTCCTCGTTTGATTTTGATTTTTTGAAAATATTTGCTCAAGGATGAGAGCATCAGTAGCTACGGCAGTAAGTATTCCCAATCTCTAACTGCTCTGGAAAAAATGGGGAACTTCCTTCTTGAGCCACTGAAGTCTTTGACGGGTAATATACCACGGTGCTGTTACGAAGTGGTTTGGTGGAGTTTCCTGTCCGCAAATGATTCCCATTTAATAACCTGCAAAATATTTTACGAAAAACCCCTCACCGTCGGTCCAGGATAGAAATTCAGAAGAGACCCTCTATCTAACCCTCTATCAAAGGATTTTGCTAAAAAAATCCATCACAATCAGTTCAGGACAAAAATTCAGAATGGACAAACGCTTCTCTTGGTCTGAGTTTGCTGTGTCTTAAGTCCTTCCTTTCTCACTGTAGCCCTGTCAACTGCAGCGCATGCGCACTGCTGCATATTGCCTCCCTACAAACAGAGCAACCATGCATGTGTCCCGCGGAACATTGACCCCAACAAAGATGGCGGCAGTATCCCGCGGCCAATCAGCGCCTGGGTCACGTAGCCGTTTTCCCGTTTGCTGCAAGCGAAGGACAGGGAGTTCCTAATTTGGATCTGAGAACCTACGCCTGGTGTTAACGAATCCTAAAGTCTACACTGGCTCGATTTTATTCGAGCTCCTCGCTGTTCCTCTCCCTGCACCACTCCCTTCTCCATCGGCTCCTGCACTTGCACAGTCTTCAGTCATTGCGTCTGCACAGGAGCTTCGTCCTGTGTGGATGATCACGTGCCTTCAGCAGTCCCGGGGCCCCGCCCTCCAGCCCCGCCCCCTCTATATCTATTGGCCACAACCACTGTCAATCACCCGGATCCGATTGTAAGGCGACACTGCCCCAGCCTCACCCTGAGCTGCTGACTGTCCCAGCTTTTTCTATTGTACATTGGAGCGGGAGCTGGAGGGTCAGGCGTCCCTGGCCTGATTGCTCCTCTCTGATTTCCCCGGCTCCTTCACTGACCCCAGGGTAGGGATTGACATCTTTACTGTTCCCAGGACAGGGATTTGCACCTTTACTGTTCACAAACAGGGATAAGCACCTTCTTTGTCCCCAGAAAAGGGATTAGTGCATTTACTTTGAAGGGGAAAATCCAGGTTTTATCTCAGTTGGAAACTTTTTGTTTACAGTAGCAAAAGCAAAGTTGCCGGAAAACCTCAGCAGGTCTGGCAGCATCTATGAAGAAAAAATCAGTTAACGTTTCGGGTCACCAGACCCGAAACTTTAACTCTGAATTTTTTTTCTTGGATGCTGCCAGACCTGCTGAGCTTTTCCAGCAACTGTTTTTGTTCCTGATTTACAGCATCTGCAGTTCTTTTGGTTTGTGTTTACAGTAGCTTCGGTAGAGCAAAACGTTCTGGCTTTTAGACCATAAAATATCAGAGCAGAAGTAGGCCATTCAGCCCATCAAGTCTGCTCAGCCTTTGGATCATGGCTGATTTGTTTTGCAATCCCATTCTCCTGCCTTCTCCCTGTAACCCTTAATCCCCCTACAAATCAAGAACCTATGTCCCTCTGTCTTAAATATACTCTGTGACTTGGCCTCCACAGCCTTCTGTGGAAATGTGGTCCTCAGAGTCACCACCACCTTTTGGCTGAAGATCCTCCTCGTCATCGTTCTAAAGGATTGTCCCTTCACCCTGAGGCTGTGGTCTTGGGTCCTAAACTCTCCTACTAGTGGAAACTAAAATAACTCCACAGAGGCTGATATTCCGTCATCAAGTCACTCCTTATTTACACATGGAGCATCCTTGGCACTGGTCCAGCACCCACCGAGCCAGTTGTCAGAGTGAACTGGGTATCTGAGACTCCTGCTTTATATCTGTCAGCCAAGTTTAACAGCCCCACTCAGGGAACTCATATTCTGTGAGGTTCACATTGCTGACCTCATGACAATCACTACATTCCTCCTCCTTTGAGTCTGAGGACATAGGACTTTTTTTTTAAACTTCCTGCAGGGGTGTTTTAGCAATGGGTCAGGTTCCTCCAATTCTGCCTCTGATTTGGGAGGAATGTAATGCATCGTAGTTTGTGTCTTGCGCCTGGACATTCTCATCTATAGGCAGCCGAGGTGATGATGTCCACTGTGTCCAACTCACATTCTGAGGTATCATCAATGCTTGACAGAGAAGTAGAACCCACGGATTCTGGAATAGTTTGAAAGGCTGTTGAGGAGCTGGGCTACTGCACTGTTTGCAAGTTTGCAGCTTTCATATGGTCCACACACTTGTTCAGAACCATTGCACCTACTCGAACTTGATGTGTCACTGGACCTGACCTGGCATTGACCATCCCTCTCACCCATGCGAGGCCATTCCCATGGTTCCTACCCCAAACTTTATCTCCTGAAGTAAACTGTCTGTCCTGCTTAGCAGAGTCTTAGGTCTGGCCTTGGCGTTCATGATGGCTGTTTGACCAACCTCCCCCACCCCTCCACCACCCCTTCACCACCAAAGTCTGGGAAGATCAGATTTAACCTGGTACGGAGTCTTCTCCCGATGAGTAACTCTGCTGCAGCTATCCTTATAGTTGCATGAAGGGTGGTCCTATAACCAAATAGGAAACGGGACTGTTGGATATCTAGTGAAGCTGTAGGCTGTTTAATAAGCCTGCCTTCAAAGTTCGGACTGGTCTTTCTGCCAGACCATTGGATATTGGATGGTATGGAACTGTCCTTATATGTCAAATACCATTCGACTTTTAGAAATACTCAAGTACCCTACTGGTAAACAATGGCTCGTCACCTGTGACCAACACTTCTGGGAGTCTATGTATTGCAAAGGATGCACTTAGTTTTTCTATCATCGCCCATGTGTTTGATGAATGAACTCTATGAGTCGGCACCCACAATGACTAAGAACATTGATCCCCTGAAAGGAACTGATTAGCCAACCGAGTCCAGGGTTTACCTGGCCATTCCCACGAATGTGGTCGATCTGCTGGCCGTAATTTTCGTCCCTGTTGACACTCGGGGCACTGATCCACCAATGCAGCTATGCCTGTATTAAATCCTGGCCACCAGACATAACATCTCGCCAAATCTTCATTTTGGAAACCCCTGGATGAGTTCAGCAAGAATCTGCTGGCAAACTTTGCTTCCCGTTTCATCTACTGTGATCTGGTTTCTTCATATCCAAATGGGTTTCAATTCTGGTTTTCGTGGCCCTTTGGATTCACCCATCACCACCAGCTCTTTCAGTTTTGCCAGGACTAGGTCTTTCTGCGTCCAAAGTCTGATATTTTCAGCTATTACTGGGACTGTGTCCACAAAATTTAAAACAATTATGGACGCTTCCTGTGATGGTGCTACCAGCAGTTTATCTGCCACTAGGAGTTGGCTCAATGCATCGGCATTTGCTTCTTGGCCTCCTGACTTGTAATTATATGCGCTTAGTATTACAGCTGTCACTGAATTCAGCCTGAAGCTATGGGCGGCACTGCCTTGTCCTCTTTAAGTAGACTTAGCAGGGGTTGTGGTCTGTTATTATTACAAATTTATATCTGTAAAGGTATTTGTGGAACTTCCTGACTCCAAATATGACTGCCAAAGCTTCCTTCTCTATCTGGGCACATTTACGTTCTGCATTAGCCAAAGTCCTGGATACATGCACTGTTGGATGTTTCCCTCAATTGTGCAACCTGTAAGCTATTACTACCACGATGGCCTACGAGGAGGCATCGCATGTCAATACCAGATCTCGCTTGAGATCAGAGTGTACCGATACCTTAGAGGATGATAGTTGTTTCTTCACTTTCCTGAAAGCTATGGCTTGGATACACAACCAATTCCAAGGCTGACCCTTTTTAAAGAATTGATGCAAAGGTGCCAGGATGGAGGCCGGGTTATGTATGAACTTGATGTAATAATTCACCAGCCCAAGGAAAGCCCTAAGCTCTGATATAGAAGTGGAAGCTATGGCATCGTTGATCACCCGGTCTTGTCAACTCTGTAGCCCTGGTGCCTGGAACATACATTTTTCCCTTCTAAGGAGCTATGCCTACCTGGGAGAAATGTCTAAGGACTATATCCAAGTTTACTTAAGTGTTCCTTATTGGTCTTCCCTGTTATTAGCATGTCATCTAGATAAATGGTGACCTGGGGTAACCATGTAAAATGTTTTTCTTTGTCCACTGAAAAATTGCAGTTTTGTACAATGGTGCATACCCTATGCGAGGGATTGAGTATTTATCCAGCTGCAAAAAGCAGTTTACTGTTTGTTTAAAATCTCCACAAAGGCGAACTGACCCATTGGGCTGTACAATCAGTACAACCAGCTACCCATTCCGCAAACTGAACTGATTCGATGATTCCTTCGCTTTTCAGCCTTCTGATCTTTGCCTCTAGTTTTGCCTGTAAGTCCAATGGCACTGGATGAGCCTTGCAGAATCATGGAATTGCTTCCTGGTCAACATACAAGGTGACCTTGACTCCGTTGATAGTCTCTAGGCCTTCCTGAAGAACTTCTGCGTATTTAATTAGGACTTCACTGAGGCAACCATATTCCAATCAAAAAATGTTCAGCCAATCTAAGTGAATCTTTTTCAACTCATTTCACCCCATCAAGCTTGGGCCCAAGCTTTTTACTACAACTGGTGGTAACTGAACCAGCTGCTCCTCAGACCGGAACCGACATTGTACCCTTAAACTGTGAAGGTTCCCCAGCGTAGTCTAGCTGAGGTTTTGCACAAATTTAATGGTTGTAGCCCAGAGCAAATTTTGCTGAAGATTGGTTCTGCTTTCACAAAAATGGCCGTGTCGGTATTGATCTCCATTAGAACTGAGTAACCATTTAACCAGTTGTTCATTGTTTGGTTCTGATTTAGATGTTGCTAAGCAATTTAACAGTTCCAAATCAGTTGTAGCTGGACTTTTAAAGGTATGCACTCTCCTAGATACTGGCCTAGGAGTTCTCTTACTCAATTTAGGTCTAGTGGGATTCTTTTGCTGTTTCAAGTCCACATACCTGCAGCAACTACAATACCTTGCTTACCCGGGTCCTGAAGAAAATTTTAATCGTTTGGCTTAGGCTTGGCTAGTTTTGGAGTTTTGTTATGGGGTGACCGAGAGTCCCTCTGTTCAGGATATGTACGGAATGAGGCTATGTAATTGCCTCAAGTAGTGTTTCCCCAAGCTCAGTTGGACTGGGGAGGGTGTTCACTTCCATTGGAATACCCTACAATTCATATGGTCCACTTGCCTCACTTGCCAATGATAAAACAGTTGTAGTGCCTATTTGAAGTCCAGGAAAACTTCAGCAATAGGCGCTTTTGCATGGTTACATCATTTATCCCACATACCAAAACGATGTCTCAGCATCTCATTAAGGGTTAACCCAAAGTTACATGCCTCTGCCAGTTGTCTTAAACTAGTCAAAAATCCCAACATGAATTCTCGAATTGCCAAGTAAAACTGATAGCGTCACAGAATTAGAGGAGGCTTGGGGTCATAATATTCCTTAACTAAATCTGTCAACGCTTGAAAGGTTTCAGTATCTGGTGCCTCAGGAAAAGTTAGGCTCCTAATAACCAAAAAAGCTGTTGGTCCACAAGTTGTCAGGAGAATTACTCATTGCTTTTCATTTGCCTCAATGTCATTTGCCCAGAAAAGAAAACACATTCTTTCCACATACTAGGGCCAGTCTTCAACGGCAGGATCCAATGAATCAAGCTTCCCAAATAATGGTAAGATGCCAGAAATACTTACCCCAACTTAAAGGCGACTGTCGCAAGATAATTTCTTCTGGAGCATGCAGCTCGCTTGTCGCCACTGAAATAACTCCACAGAGGCTGTTATCCCATCACCAAGTCATCCTTTATTTACATGTGGACTGTCCTTGACACTGATCCAGCTTCCTCAGAACCGACTCTCAGTGTGAACAGGATGTCTGACACATCTTTTCTTCCTTTTTTCTCCTCTACCGCACACTACCACTGCACAGCAGTAGTGCATTTTAAAATCTCCTGTCTTTTGATTCTCCGAATCCCCCTTTTCTCCCCTACTCTACCAGAGCACAGTAGTAATGCTTATTTTTCCCCACATCACCCGTGGTTGTGTGTTATAGCGTAGTGACTCAGTAAAAAGACACCATTGTGCAAAAACTTTATTCTATACTTTCCACCACCAAGAAAACACCGATGTGGCCAGTGGGGAAGGTGTTAAAACTGATCATTAAAGAGATTATAGGTGCACTTTTAGGAAAAAAAAAGGGGGCAATCAGCACATGTTTGCAAGGTTTTGTCAAAGGGAATTCATGCTTAACAAATTTATTGGAGTTTTTGATAGAGTGAAATCAGGACTCATGTAGTGCAGTGGTAGTGTACCTGCCTTTGAGCTGGAACACCCAGGTTCAAGTCCCAGACGTGTGTAATAACATGTCCGAACAGGTTGATTAGAAAAATATCTGAAGAAGTAACATATGCTGTAGACACCTGCCAATATTCTATACTTGGACTCCCAGAAGGCATTCAATGAAGTGCTACAATAAAGGTTATTATGAAAGTTAAGGGAGGTAATATGGATAGCGGCTTGCACAACTTGCATCCATATCTTATTGGTAGAATATGATCAGCAAAGTCCTGAAGTGGTCTATACTGGAACCTCAATGTTTTATAATTTACATGAATGAATTAGATGAGGGGAGAAAAGTTGTGGCAGCTAAATTTACAAACGAAATCAGGTTGGTTAATATATTGTAAAGAAGACATAAGAAACTTGCAGACCCATATAGGTAGGTTGACTCAGTGAGTGGCATAAATTTGACAGTTGGATTATAATGTGGCAAATCAGCTCTTCAATCAAAATAATCTACAATGTCGGTGTTTTCACCCAGCATGCCCTGCAGTTTTGCACGTCCCCTATCTGCTCAGCAGGACAGCTATGCGCATGCGCGCTGTTCTGGGATACGCTCTCGGAAGGACAGAGAGAGGTGCAGGAGAAAGGGAGTCTGGAACGGGCGGGAGGGCATGCAGTCTTCATTAAAGGCCACAGCAGAGCTCTGGCTCCGACTACGCATCTCCAAGGCCCGCTCTTGCAACCCCGAGCCTTCTTCCTAGGAGCAGACCCCAATGGGCAAAGCTGCCATCTTGTTTTAGCGGGAAGAGGAGTGCATGCGCAGTGTCCTTGGTAACGTCACAGAATGGCGTTGGCCTCTTGGTTCCACATGACCGGAAGAGATCGTAATTGATTTAGTTGTGAGTCTGTAGGCAGGGCTGAAGAAATGGTCTAGCCAGAGGAGAGGGTGTAAACTGGGAGTAGAGGAAAGATAGTGGTAAGATGTGGATTGGGTAAACAAGAGAGCACAAATTGTTGTATAGAAACAGAATTCTCGGTTCTCACTCTTGTAAGGTTCCTTTTTAGGGTAATTAGGAGAAAATGTTTAATCAAGTTCTGTTAGAATGACTCCATTCGTCAGGGCGTGATTATCGTCAGAGCTGATTATTTGTTTGAATTGGAGACAAGGATATCCCGGTCATAGAGAAACCATGGAAATGTGTGGACTGTGGGAAGGGATTCTGATTGCCATCTGATCTTTGAAGTCATCGCAGACACACTGGGGAGAGGCCATTCACTTGTTCCAAGTGGGGGAAGGCATTTGTTCATTTGTCCTGTTTATGAATGCATGAAAGAATTCATACCAGGGAGAAACCTCTCACCTGCTGCAAGTGTGGGAAGAGATTTGCTCAGTCGTCCAACTTAAATAAACACCAAAGAACTCACACTATGGCGAGACCATTCACCTGCTCGGAGTTTGGGAAAGGTTTCAAGCAGTTATCCACCTTACATAAGCACTGGAGAACTCTCACTGGAGAGAAACCATTCACCTATCCTGCGTATGAGAAGAAATTCACCTAGTTATCCACTTTACATAGACACCAGAGAACTCACACTGGGAAGAAACTATTCCCCTGCTCTGGGTGCTGGAAGAGCTTCACACAGTTATCAAACTTGCAAGCGCACACCAGAGAACTCAGTGGAGAAAAACCATTCCCTTGCCCTGAGTGTGGTCAGGAGTTCACACAGTTAGTCAGCTCACAAAAACACCAGAGCACTCGTACCATGGAGAAACCATTCACCTGCTTTGACTGTGAGAAGAGTTTCACTCAGTCATCCAGCTTGTGTACACACCAGAGGACTCACGCAGGGGGAGGAATTGTGTACTTGCTCTAAGTGTGGGAAGACATTCACTCGTTCAACTGCCCTGCTGACACAAGAAAGAGTTCACTATGGGGAGAGACCTTTTCAATGCCCAGACTGCAGAAAGTCCTATAAAAGTTCTGGGGAACTCATGTCCCATCAAATCATTGAGAAACCATTTCAGTGCTGTCACCCCAGATTCAAGCAATCATTTCATCTCATTGCACACCAGCGAATTCACACAGGGGAGAGGTCATTCACCTGCTCCAAGTGAGGAAAGTGATTCTCTTGGTCATCCACCTTGCTAAGACAGCAGCAAATTCACGAGTGTTGGCAGGGGTTAGATTGTGCCGTTATTGATACTGGTTAACACATCCAGGACTGAAAGTATGTATTAATCGTGAGGTGTTGAAGAAATGTGTCCCACACTCTTCCATGGTTTTCGACCCAGAAAGGAAGGCTCCTTTACAATTGAGTTTAGAGTCAGGAAGAAAGTTGGTAAATGCTGGAAACACGCTGTCAAATCAGACTGGGGCCAAAGTGGGATCTGCTCCTGCTGAAAGTGAAATGGCAGGTTTAAATTTCCAAACTGAAAGTAACTGGTTATTATGGTCCAAGGATTTGAAATGTTTGTGATATTGTCCTGAGATGAAGAGGCTGAACAGCCTGTCTGTATCTATGTTGAAAGCACACAGGATGCACTAGAAGAAATATAAACATTTTGGGCTAGAAATTGCAATTCATCAATGGTGTGCACATCAGTTTGACAAAAAAAAATTGGTTTTATATAATGACACATACATTTTATGTGTTGGCACTAGTTCCAGCTTGCATTCATTCCCAAGGGCTTGCTTTTTCACTAGTTTCATGCTTTAGCATTATTAGATCAGAATCAAAATAGTTATTAACTTTCAACTTGATTCTCAGAGGCTAACACCTAACTTTATTAAAAATTCTCAAACGTAGTAAACAATAAATGGAAAACTTTGGAAATAGGGTATAGTACTTTTTTTTGTGATTTAGGTAATACTGGACAAGTCTGATCTCAGAGTGAAACCTGTCTTGACAGGCCAGAATTTTAATTTTGGCTATTTGTCTACCATGAAGTTCAGTTTCTGAGGATATACAGAAGAGATTGGATCTCATTTTGTTGACAAAGTTTATTAAACACAAAAGGAAAAAAAAACAAATAAAAGACTAACTGTATTGCACTGTACTAGGACTGCAAATGTCAGAATTATACAATCAACGTTTTATCTTCCACAACAATGTTACAGATACCTAAACCTCAGTGAAGTGTCAAACTGTACCCATTTTAAAATTCATGGTTCAGTTTTCACAGCTACATTTTGTTTCTGGAGCTTTTTTCTTGCTTTCTTCTAAAGAGTTCCAGGTCAAACACATGGATTTTCCAAATGCTCAGCTTTTCTGTTAATCCACTCTGGACATTTCCCATTTCCACAGCCGTCTCTTTTCAGACACCAACTCCTGGCAATAATTCTATTTGCATTCATCCATAAAGTACAGGGGCAGAATTAGGCCACTTAGCCCACTGAGTCTGCTCCACCATTCGATCACGGCTGATATGTTTCTCAACTCTGTTCTCCTTCCTTCTCCTCATAACCCCTGATCCCTTTCCAAACAAGAACCTATCTATCTTTGGCTTAGCGACACTCAATGAGTTGGCCTCCACAGCCTTTTGTGGCAATGAGTTCCACAGATTAACCACCCTCCAGCTGAAGACATTCCTCCTCGCCACACTTCATTCTGAGGTTGTGCCCTCAGATCCATGTCTCTCTTACTAGTGGAAGTATCTTATCCATGTCCTTTCTGTTCAGGCCTCTCAGTATTCTGTCACTTTCAATGAGATACCCCCTCATCCTTCTAAATACAGACCCAGAGTCCTCAACCACTCCTCATATGACAAGCTCTTCGTCCCTGGGACCATTCTTATAAATCTCCTTTGCACCCACCGAGGTCAGCACATCCTTCCTTTGATAATTGGCCCAAAAATAGTCAAAATATTCCATGCGGTCTGACAACAGCCTTATACAGCCTCAGCAGTATGTCTCTGCTCTTGTATTCTAGTCCTCTTGAAATGAATGCTAACATTGCATTTGCCTTTCTAAGTGCAAACTGACCCTGCATGTTAACCTTAAGATAATCCTGAACTAGAACTCCTAAGTCCCTTGTGCTTCAAATTTCTGAAGCCTTTCCCCATTTCAAAGATAGTCAATGCCTCTATTCTTTCTACCAAATTGCAAAACCTCACACTTTCAGTTTGCTACTTCTTTGGCCACTCTACTAGCCTTCCAAGTCCTTCTGCAGCTGCCCACCTCCACAACACCACCTGTCCCTCCACCTATCTTTGTGTCATTTGCAAATGTAGCCCTCAGTTCCTTCATCCACATCATTAATGTATGACGTGAGTAGTTGTGGTCCCAAAAAAGACGCCTTCATCACCAGTCTCTGCGTTCTGCCAGCCAGCCAATTCTCTATCCATGTCAGTACCTTGCTCCTGACACCATAGGCTCTCATCGTATTCGGCAAACTCTTACACAGCACCTTGTCAAAGGCCTTCTGGAAATCCAAATAGATCATGCTCACTAGCTTTCCTTTGTCTAACATGCTTGTCACCCTTTCAGCTCTGCTTCTATAATCCCTGTAAAACATAGAATCATACAGCGCAAAGGAGGCCCTTCGGCCCATTGAGTGTGTATCACCAAAAATACACTATTACCTAAACTTGTCCCATTTTCCCGAATGAGGCCCATAGCCCTGTGGGATCTGCTGTACTTCCTGATGGGGGTATCTCTTTTTGGACTGATCCTATGGACTCTCACCATGCCTTCCAGTTTCCCTTTTAATATCACACACTACAGCCAGAAGTGCCCTCATTATTTTTTACAGTGGGAACACATAGGTCTCCAGGGTGAGGTATTGCATTTTGGTAATACAAACAAGGACAGGACTTATATAATTAATGGTAGTGTTGTAGAACAGAGAGACCTAGGAGTTCCCGTACATAATCTTTTGAAACTTGAGTCACATGTAGACAGAGTGGTTGAGAATGTGTTTCGCATGCTTGCCTTCATTGCTGAGACCTTTGAATACAGGAGTTGGGATGTTCTGTTGAGGTTGTACAGACGTTGGCGAGTCTTCTGGAATACTGTGTGCAGTTCTGGTCTCCCTATTATAGGAAGTATATTATTAAACTGGAGAGGATTCAGAAAAGATTTGCGAGGATGTTGCCTTACTGGGAATGGAGGGTTTGAGATATAGAAATAGATTGGAAAGACTGGGACGTTTTTCACTGGAGCATAGAAGGTTGCGGGGTGACCTTCTAGAGGTTTATAAAACCATGAAGGGCATAGATAGGGTGAATGGCAAGAGTCTTTTCCCTTCGTTGGGGGAGTTCAAAACTAGGGGGCATATTTTTAAGGTGAGTGGAGAAAAAATTCAAAAGGACATGAGGGACAACATTTTTTTGCACAGAGGATAGTTCGTTCGTGGAATGAACTGCCAAATAAAGTGATGGATGCAGGTATCGTTACAACATTTAAAAGACATTTGGATAAATTCATGAATAGGAACGGTTTGGAGGGATGTGAGCCAAGTGCAGGCAGATGGGACTAGTTTAGTTTGGGAACATAATTGGCATGGACTGGTTAGCCTAAAGGGTCTGTTTCCGTGCTGTATGACTCTATGGCAAGGGGCTGTTCTCCAACCAGACTGGAGTTGGACTATTGACACTTTTGCTTGTACTCCCCTTTCCATGTGGGATTTCCTGATTTATCCAGCTTTCCCCTCTTCTCATCCCACTGACTTTGAAAGTGTTGGCCCAATTTTCTAGTCTTGCGAGTAAGGTCATCAGTACTGACAATATGGTAACTTGTAATTCTTTTCTTTGGAGATAATCTTCGCAGTAGTTTACAACACAGTAGTCCCATCAGGAAGTACATGAACTGTCGATTGCTCCGCCAACTTTGACTTAAGAAGAAGCTTTTGGATAGTTGCTGCCAAGTGCAGTAACATGATTGCAGCAGCCGTCTTAGTTGGGTGTTTCAAAAGAAGTCACTAAATATATGTACTGACATTAGTTTTAATCTATTTGTGAATATATATGTCAGGAAAAGCAAGTGTCCCAACAATACCCTGGGGAACTACTACAATGCTTCCTTTAGCCCTTAAAACATGCATTAACCATTAATGTCAGTTTCCTGGCACTTGGCCATTTCTGTATCCATGTTGTTACTGGCCCTTATTCCACGATCTCTAACTTTGTTTACAGGTCTGTTGTATGGCAAATCACTCTTGGAAGTCTACATGCACGACACCAACTGCATCATCCTTAGCAACTCTCTGCTACCTCTTCACAAAACTCCAGCAAGATAGTTAATGCAAATTTCCATGAACTAGCTCTCCTTAATTAAGCAAAAATTCTGTATGTGATCATCTATTTTGTCCCGTATATTACTTCTAGAAGTTTCCCACCCACTAAAGTGGAACTGACCTGTAGCTGTTAAACGCCCCTTTACATCATTTCTCGTTCAAGGGTCCATTTGCAGTCTCCTGTACTCTGGCACCACTGCTGAGTGTAAGGAAGCCTGAAAAATGTGGCTTCAGCTTCCACAAATACCCCTCCCACTTCCCTCAGTATCCTTGGGTGCATCTCATCGATACCCAGTGCATTTATTAACTTTAAGAAAGGCAATCTATCCAATATCTCCTCCTGAACATTTATAAACCCTTCTAGGGTTTCAAAATTAACAATAAAACCCAATCATAGCAGCTATTCGTCAACCCTTTGGTGTCTCAGGAGGTTGGATGAATGAGTGAATCCCTTTTCATACTCAGCAAATAAACAGCTTCTCTCCAGTGTGAACTCATTGCTGCTTTAGCAGATGGGATAACTGAGGGAATTCCCTTCCCACGGTTTGTGCAAGTGAACAGCCTCTCCCTGGTGCAAACTCGCTGGTGTACATTGAGTTGAGATGAATGCTTGAACCCAGGTCGCAGTGTTGAGCATCTGAATGGGCTGTCATTAGAATGAACACATTGATAAACCATCAGGTCCCCAGAACTTGTGTAGCACTTCCCACAGTCTGTGTATTTAAAAGATTGGATGAAGCAGTGAATCCCTTCACATGCTCAGAGCAGGTGAATGGCCTCCCCCTGGTGTGAACACGCTGATGTATCAGAAGATGCGATAATTGACTGTATCCCTTCCCACCCTCCGGACAGGTGAATGGCCTGTCACCAGTGTGAACTCGCTGGTGTGTCAGTAGGTTGGATACCTGAGTGAAACCCTTCCCACACCGGGAGCAGCTGAACGGCCTCTCCCTTGTGTGACAGCGCCAGTGAGTTTCGACCTTCGATGGGGAAATGAATCCCTTCCCACAAACTACACACTTACACAGTTTCTCCCTGTTGTGACTGTATTTATGTTTTGACAGGCCAGATGAACTAGTGAAGCCTCTGCCGCACAGGACACGTGTATGGTTTCTTCCTACTCCAAACGGTGCTTTTCCCTTCCATGTTCAAAATCCAATGATATTCAGGTTATGATAAAGTGGGTGACTGTCAGATCCTGAAGTGGTGTTTAGTTTGAGGTACTTACTGCAAACTCTTCTAATTTGCTGTGAAATTGATTTAAAGTAGAAAGAGAAACCGGTGACAGAGAATATGGGAATATATTCACTGTTGGATTATTATAAAAACACAACTGGTTCACTCAATCCTTCAGGAAAGGGAACTTTGTTACTAAGTTATGTAAAGTAATCGTGAATTGGAAGGCAGGAAGCTAGAATTTGTTCTTAAAAAATGTGCATGTTCTGTTTAAGAGATAGTGTGCTTTTCTAAGCCTAGAGATTTGTACAGAAAATGGGTCTGTAAATAGCTGCAGATTACAGACATTTCTAAAGATTGAAACATGTATCCATTGGCTGTGTGATTGGAAAACTTCGGCTTGTTTTGATGTTTTGGCAAAAAGATAGAATCAGCCAATTAATTTAGACCAAACACTTAGCGATTGAAAGCCAATTGAATTTACATCTGATGGTTTTGATAATCTCGGACCAATGCTGCTGCAAGAAAATTGATATGTCATCCAAAGTATGTAAGGAGAGGGGTTCTGGAAAATCAGCAGAGAGCCAACTGGGTGTGAAAATGAACCACCATCTCAGAAATAAGGACCTAGCTCTCACAAGAAATCGCTCAGCTCTAAGAAAGCACCATCTTATGCACTTCTGGCCAAGCACTTCTAGCTAAGAGTCTTCCCAGAGAAAACATCCCTGACAGCTGGATCAGCAGAAGAAAGGCATGTAGACTTTGAGATACTAAGATTTAATTTTTTTTTTCTTCTTACTACTTGGGGTTATATAAGTTGAACTTGTGTTTATTAGAATAGCAAACCAGTAAAATTTTGTTCAGTTAAGGAATAGTTGGTGGGCGGGTGGGGGAGGGTGGGTGGTGGTGGTGGTATTGTTCAGTTTGTTAGTAGTTTTGTTAATTTGTTCACTATTATGGTTAAATAAATAAATTGTTTGCTTGTTACTTATAAAGTGACTACCAGGAATTTTCTTTCATTTAACCTCCCCTTCTCCATAACAGTTTAACAGATTAGGCAAGGTGAGGCGAGCTTGTCTGGGTGTTTTGGGTTTAATTATTAGAAGGGGACCTCAACTCCTGCCATAACAGATTGGGGGCTAGTGCTTCGATTTTAATTATCAAAGGGGTTCAACCTCCCCTTTCTGACAACTTGCTGTTCTGTCTGAACCTACACAAGGGTGTCGTCAATGGAGAAGACAATAAAAAAAGAGGTACTTTAAAAGAGTAGCCTCTTTTAAAATTTAGATTTTTATTGAAATCAAATTTCAATGATGTGGAAGTGTTGGTGTTGGACTGGGGTGGACAAGATCAAAAAAATCACATGACACCAGGTTATAGTCCAACAGGGTTTATTTGAAAACACAAGCTTTTGGAGCCTCGCTCCTTCTTCAGGTGTTTGTGAAATTTGAGCCTGTGTCCCCAGAACATTAGCCAGTGTCTCTAGATTATTCATCCAGTGACATGAGCAATACACCACCACGTCCCAGAAAAAAAATAATCAAAGGATTGACACACACAACTAGCACATTATTACTGGTTAGAAGCTTCATCGAATGTTATCTATGTTGAAAAGAAAGTTGTTTGTTCACATAGCTTATTTAATCTCCAAGGACCTCACAGCCGACATTACCTTTTTTACTCCTGTTAAGTGTTGTATCGCTTGATTTAATGATTTTATATTTGTCTCTCAAGTTGTAATCGGGCGACAAAACGTTATATCATAATTTAAAAAAAATAAAATCTTTCAATGGCGATGATATTACCCAGCAATCAGAGGGAGGCAGAATAAGCTGTATCATTGTTGCGCAGGCGTAGTGTCGGGCAGTTTGTGGTGCATGCGCAACATCCCCCACGTAGGAGTATGCGCAGTACCAGTCTGGGAAGGGTCAGGCGGTTGGTGTCAAGACTATGGGGAAGTGTAGTGGAGGATCGGAGACAGCGGGTGAGTGTCAACCAACGGATTCGGCGGTTGGGACGCAGGTCACTGACATCGTTTGTGGGGCTCAAACTGTAAATGAAACACTTGCGGTCCAAGGATTGAAACGACTTGACCACCGTGTGGCTTTTCCTTGGGATTAGGCCTGGTTTTTAAACGGCCGTCATCTTTATAGGGGGCGAAGGGCCGAGGTGGTGAGGGATCAAGAGGGAATGCCATCTTTCTGCGGGGCAATGGGCGGCGGGGCGCACGCGCGGCTACTATCTTCTCAGGCTCCTCCTCTGGGACTGATATGGCCCGTGTGAAAAGGCTCATGAACCCTCGGTGAGAAAAAAAAAATCTCCACATCACTACGTGAGACGATGGCCCGTTCTAAAAATATTGACCTCTACTTTTAGAGGCCACACAAGGAAACACCCTCTGCACATCCATCTAGTTAAGCCACTTTAGGATCTTGTAGATTTCAATAAAGCTTTCTCTCATCTTCTAAATTCCACTGGATATAAGCTAAGACTATCCAACTTTTCCTCACAAGAAAACCCACCTGTTCAAGAGAATTGTTCTCATAAATGTTTTCTGAATCTGCTCCAAAGGATTTTTATCCTTAAATAAGAAGTCTAATGCTGTACACAGTGTAGTGGTCTCCTAAGTGCTCTGTAATAATGAAGCTTTTTAAAAAAAAAGTCAATTTGCTCTGTAATAAACAGTAACATTTTTTAGCTGCCATAATTACTTGTTGGACCTGCATACAAACTCATCATAATCTTGCAATGTCTCATCTTGTTGTTCAGGCGATTAACCTTCTTGGTGTTTGAATGGAGGACATTCTGCTCATCCAGTTGTCAAGAGGATGTGTGATTTGAAGGTGTTAGTGTTCACATCCATTGGCTAGTCCGGTCCTTCTAGTTGGTGGGGGTTGAGGATTTGGGACACTTTATCGAAGTTTCCCTTCCTTTCTCTCTCTTTGTCTCTTTCCATACAGCCAAAAATCTTGAGGAGGCCCGGAGCAGGTGGCAGCTTCCCTTTCTCAATGAACATTACTGAACTGGGTGGATTTTTTTTGACAACCTGGAAGCTTTGACTTTAACCCTTCTGAGTGTCAAGATCCACAAATGATCATATCCATTCTGTTGCATCTCACTCCTTGCCTTTGTGCTTTTTGTGGGTTCTCTCTCACTCTCTTTTCTTTCTTTTTTAAGTCAAGATTATTCGAAGGGGAGAATTTGTAGTCAGGAAACAAACCAAACCATTGTCAATTTCTGATGGAGAGGCCCAATTTGCCGTAAACTCAATATTGTGAACTTTTGAACATGGAAGGAGAAAGCACTGTCAACAGTGGCAAGAAATCGCCCATGTGTTCTGTTTGTGGCCAAGACTTCAGCCAACCATCTGACCTGTTAGAACATAAATGTAGTGACGATGGGCAGAAACCATGGAAATGTGGGGACTGTGGGAAGGGATTCAAATCTGCTCCAAAGCTGGAAAGGCATCAGTGCAGTCACAGTGGGGAGAGGCAATTCACTTGTTCCAAGTGTGGGATGGGATTTACTGAGCCATTCACACTGCTGACACATGAGAGAGCTCACACTGAAGAGAGACCTTTTAAATGTCCAGAATGTGACAAGTGCTTTAAAAGTTCTGAGGAACTGATATTGCATCAGCACATTCACTCTGAGGAGAGACTATTCAAGTGCTTTCACTGTAGGACTGGGTTCAGGCGATCATCCCACTTCATTGCACACCAGCGAGCCCACACTGGGGAGAGGCCGTTCACCTGCTCTGATTGTGGAAAGGGATTCACTCAGTCATCTAACTTACTCGCACACCAGTGCACGCACACTGGGGAGAGACCGTTTACCTGCTCCAACTGTGGGAAGGGATTCACTCAGCTTTCCAATCTACTGAGACACCAGCGAACTCATACAGGTGAAAGACCTTTTAAATGTCCAGACTGTGGGATGTGCTATAAAAGTTCTCGGGAATCGATGCGCCATCAATGTACTCATACTGATGAGAGACCGTTCAAGTGCCCTTATTGTGGGACTGGGTTCAAGCGATCATCCTACCTCACTGTACACCAGCGAATTCACACAGGGGAGAGGCCATTCAGCTGCTCTGAGTGTGGCAGGGGTTTTACTCAGCTAGCTCACCTGCTGACGCACCAGCGCGCACATACTGGGGAGAGACCATTTACTTGCTCTGACTGTGGGAAGAGATTCACTCAGCTTTCCAACCTACTGAGACACCGGCGAGTTCACACTGACGAGAGGCCGTTTAAATGCCCAGACTGTAGCAAGTACTTTAAAAGTTCCAGGGAACTGATCTCCCATCAACATATTCATACTGATGAGAGACCGTTCAGATGCTGTCACTGTGGGATTGCATTCAGGCGATCATCTCAACTCACCGTGCACCAGCAAATTCACACCGGAGAGAGACCATTTACCTGCTCTGAGTGTGGAAAAGGATTCAGTGATTCATCCAACCTGCAGATACACCAGAGGGTTCACACCGGAGAGAGACCTTTTAAATGTCCGGACTGTGTGAAGTGCTTTAAAAGTTCCGGGGAGCTGATGTCCCATAAGCATGTTCACACGGACGAGAGGCCATTCAAGTGCTCTCACTGTGGGACTGGGTTCAAGCACTCGTCTCAACTTACAGTCCATTGGCAAGTTCACACCGGGGAGAGGCCATTCACCTGCTCCGTGTGTGGCAAGGGGTTCAGTGATTCGTCCAACTTGTTGATACACCAGCGAGTTCACACTGGGGAGAGACCTTTTAAATGCCCAGAGTGCGGGAAGTGCTATAAAAGTTCAGGGGAACTGAAGTCCCATCAACGTGCTCACACGAACGAGAGACCATTCAGCTGCCCTCGCTGTGGGATGAAGTTCAAGCGATCATCACACCTCACTGTACACCAGCGGGTTCACAGTGGGGAAAAGCCCTTCTCCTGCTCCAAGTGTGGGAAGGGATTCCCTCAATTATCGCACCTACTGAGACACCAGGGAATTCACAAGTAACTACAGGGACTGGATTTTGCTGTTTAATCACATCCAGAACCGAACCATATTCATTGTGGTTCTGTTCCTGTTGATTTTATTGAACTCCAGTTATACGTGTTAATGTTCCAAATAAAAGTCAAATAAATCGCCTTAGTATTAAACACAAAGTGTTGAGTCTTCGTAATATTTTAACACAAGTTTGAAGAGCCGATCCTTGCCTCTTCCGTTGTCACCTCCAACAAGTGTGCAGGTCTCATGGAGATTCTTGGTCACTAAGATTGAGATAATCTGATCAGCTGCCTCCCCTTCCACTCACGATTGGGCCAAATTGCCTCAAACGTTCCACTTGCCTGAGCCTTGAACTTGCATCTTTCTTTAGTTTCTCTGCTATCTCCCGTCATGTGCTCTCAGAGCTGATCTTGCCCATATGACCCTACTCTCATGAAATTGTGGACCATCCAACTCCCCCTGTTCACCATTGTCAATTGTTACAAAGTTGGGTAGAGTTTTCATGAATTGGAAGGCAGGAAGTTAGAATTGTTGGTTAAAAAAAAATGATAGTGGCGAAGAAAAGTGCGTGGTCCCTTTAAGAGATTGTGCTTTGTCTGTGCTTGGAAGTTTGTAAGCAGGTGCACACACAGAGCGCCCAAATGGAAACATTTTGTATCGAACAGCCAAGCAGCACTTTTACCAAGACAACAAGTCTTTTCAAATTTAGCCGATCAATTTAAACTAAGTTCTTAGATGCTAAAAACCTGTCAAATTTAAAACTGTAGGTGTTGACAACCTGAAATCAATTGTATTAAAGGATTTGATGTGTCATGGGGATATATAAGACAGGTTTTTTTTTGGAAGTCTGGAGAGAGCCAACTACCAAGAGACAACGCCTTTTTTGCTCTCAGAGAAAGCACCATCTAATTAAAATGGTGCCACGGCGTTTGTAGCTAAGTCCTCACAGAAGTAATTACAGAGCAAAACATCCCTGACAGCAGAATCAGTGGCAGAAAGACAGTTATGACTTGAGATCGGCAGAAGAAAGACGAGAGAAAGCAAAGTGTTCCAGAAGATAGTCTGTGTGAACTAGGAGAGATTAAGTTTTAATTTATTGTTGTCTTATTAATTAGGTTTATATAAGTGGGACTTGTGTTTATTTAAACAGCATTCCTGTAGAATTTAGTTCAGTTAGGGAGTAGTTAGTAGTCTAAGGGGGGATTGTTCGGTTTGTTAGTAATTCTGTTAAGTTTTTCCATTGTTAGGGTTAAATAAACAAATTGTTATTTGTTACTTGTAAAGTGGAGTTCAGGGATTTTCTTTTAACCACAGTTTTAACAGATTATGAGGGGAAAGGTGAGCTTCTCTGGGTGTTTCAGGGTAATTATTAGGGGGGAGCTCCTACTGCTGTCATAACAGATTGGGGCTTGTGTTTTGATTGAACTATCAGAGGGGTTTGGCCATTCTCCCCCCCCGGTCCGTACCACAATGTTTCCACCTTCTGGTATTGTCCCTCTTACCTTTTATTCCACCAGCTTCACCCATCCTAATATAACCTTCATCATTCCAAATTCCCGCCCTATCTCCACCCTCCCTTTCCTGTCCAAACTCCTTGTATGTGGTGTACCCCGAGGATCTATCCTCTATCCTTTCCATTTCTTATCTACTGATTGAGGGTGAACCAGTCTTGGTGTCCTCTTTGATCCCAAGATGAGCTTCTGACCACATACCCATGCCATTACTAATAACAGAAATACCAATTTCCAATAACATCACCCATCTCCACCTGACCCCACCCCAGCTCATCTGCTGTTAAAACCGTCATTCATGTCCATTTTAGTTTCAGACTTGATGATTCCAATGCATTTCTGACCAGCCTCTTGCGTTCATCCCACCTGCATTGGAAACGTGAAATCACTCAATAAAGTCTGGTGTCCATGTGCTTTCTCACAGCAAGTCCTGTTCACCCATCACCTTTGTGTTCACTGGCCTCCATTGGCTCCTGGTCAAGCAATGCCTCAATTATAAAATTTACATCTTTGCTTTCAAATCCCTCCCTATCTCTGTAATCTCCAGTCACACATCCCTCAGCAATATCCTTTCATTCTGGTTTTCAAACTCCCTGATTTTTAAATTCTCCACTTTTGGGAGCTGTGGCTTGGTGTGAAGCTCTGAAATTCTCTCCCTAAACATCTCTGCCAACCCTCTCTTGATTAACAATGCTTGTTCAAATCTGCTGCTACAATCAATTCCTATAATGGATTCAGTTTAATATTATGGATGTGTCATTGGTTTTCAGGGCTGCACTCTCCCTTTTCAAAAGCACCGTCTGTGAATTTTTCCATTAACTAAAGAACCCTCAGCAGGAACCCATTTAGGTTAAAATTACAAGCTTTCTACTTCAATTCTAAATTGATCTTTAGTGCAAAATCTTTAGTTCAATGTCTGAAAAGCTCAACTGATTTAGCAACTACATTTACAAGGTTATAATTAATTCTTGTTGAATTTTTTATTGACTTGTACACTTTTCACAGTTGCAACTGTCATTAAATTATTTTACGGATACATCAATCAGCACTAATATTGATGAAGTGTGGATGTTGCTGCATTTGATCCCTAATGACGTATTTTGGTAAAGTCAGAACTCTCAATACAAATTAGTTTGAGACCTACTTGGCAGAGATGAAGCAAAAAGCAAAGCTTGATGTGTAACGAACCCAACAGCAAAAACGCAACATTGAAAGTACTAAAAACAGTACAGAGAGAGATATGAGTTTTTACAGTGTTGAAAGAGGCCCTTTAGCTCATCGTGTCCACGTTGGTTGTCAGCATCTATCTATTCTAATCCTGCTTTCCAGCACTTAACCCATAATCTTGTATGTTATAGTGAATCAAATTCTCATTTAAATACTACTTTAATGTTGTGAGGTTTCTGCCTCTACCACCCTTTTAGACAGTGAATTCCCGCTACCCTCTGACTGTGCTTCTGGTTATTGACCTCTCGAGTAAGGGGAAGGTTCTCCCTGGTCTAGGACCCCCAGAACTTTGTACTGTTCAATCAGGTTCCTCCCTCAGCCTTCTTTGCTCTAAGGAAAACAACCTCACCGATTCTAGTCTGTTTTCATAACTGAATCGCTCCAGCCTAGGCAACCTCTTGGTGAATCATTTCTCACCCTCTCTAGTGCGGTCAACAATGTTTCCTTTAGTGTGGTCACTTGAACTGCACACAGTATTTCCCATATGCCTTCTTAGTCATCTTACGTATCCTGTCCTGCTGCCTTCAAGGATCTATGAACATGTACATCAATATCCTCTGATTCTCTATAATTCCTAGGGTACTAGCATTCAATATGTACTTACTTGCCTTGTTGGTCCTCCTAAAATGTACCAGTTCACATTTTTTCAGATTTGCCATTCTTCAGCCCTTACAGCCTAAGGCTTATCTCTTGCTCTTTACCAATTTTCATGTCATCTCCGAACTTACTGATCATGCTTCCTATATCCATTTCCAGATCACTAATGTACATAACAAACAGCAAGGGACCCTGCACAAAACACTGTGGGCTATCACTGGACACAGGCTTCTAGTCACAGAAACACCACTCAACCATTGCCATTAAGCCAATTTTGGACCCAATCTGCCAAATTACCCAGGATCCCATAGGTTCTTGGCTTCTAAACCAGCCTGCCATGCTAAACCTTGTCAAAAGTCTTACTGAAGTCCATGCAAATGCATAACTGCACCACCGTCATCTGTACTCCCGGTCACATCCTTGAAAAATTAAATCAAATTTGTCAGACATGATCTCCCCAACAAAGTCATGCTGACTATCCTTGATTAATCCTTGCTTCTCCAGGCAGAGATTAATTCTGTCCCTCAAAACCTTTTCCAGTAGTTTCTGAAGAAGTTATGCTAGACATGAAACATTAGCTGTTTCTCTCTCCAGCATTTTCTGTTTTGTTTCAGATTTCCATCACCTGCAGTATTCTGCTTTTATTCAATTATAATTTCATGGGTTATCCCTACCACCCTTCTTGAACAATGACACCACACTAACTGTCCTTCGGTTCTCTGGCACCCCTCCTGTTGCCAAAATTAATTTCAGGGCCTCCCACATCAGCCAAGGATCCACACCATCTGGAACTGGGGATTTATCGACTTTCATTCCTGCTAAAGTTGCTAAACGCTCCACCATCTCAATGTTACTTTGTTCAAGTATATCACAGTCTCCCTCCCTGAATTCTATACTCCTCTCAGGCACCCACTGTTCTGAGTTCTCAATCTCTGCCTTAAGCTTCACTTTTTTTGCCTATCCAAACTTAGACATCCATCCAGGATTCTCTGGACTTGTTGATTCCACCCTTCATCTTTACGAGAATATGTTGAGCATGCACTCTCTCTCTCCAGCTGCTCTGGAATGGATTGTCCTGAATGTTATTGCTCCCAATCCACTTTGGCGAGATCCTGTCTTATTGTATTAGAATCACCCTTTTCTCAGTTCAGAACTTTTATTTGTCCAACTTTGTCCTTATCCACAATTACTTTAAATCTCACTGAATTATCACTAAAATACTCCCCCACTCCCACTTACCAGCTTCGTTCCCTACAGGTTGAGAACTGCCCCATTTCATGGAGCACTTTATACATGCTGACTTAAAAAGCTCTCCTGGAAACAACTTAAGAATTTCCTCCCTTTAAGCCTTTCTCTCATTGTCTTTCCCAGTGAGTCTACAGTCAATGGTGAAACAATTTCAGAACAAGTGAGAGAAACATAGCACAGGAGAGGACAAGGAAGTTGAGGTAGCTGGAGCATTAGTCAGTCCAAGGCACAGTAACAGACTGTATCAGGTGGTGACACACTGTAGCAGCACTAATAAGTCAGTATCCAGCCTTAAAGCGGAGGCTTTGAGTAACATTGAAATTCTAGATGCCAAGGCCAAGTGGTAAAAGTGGTATTTTGGAAACCTAAACAGACAAGATCTAATGGAGGAGGCTTAACGATTCTGTTGAGCCACAGAAAATGTTGGAGATCTATGACTTAAACACCTGTAAAGAGCGAAAGCAATTATTTAAATTGCAACGAGGAACCATCCAGGGCAAATTATGAAAGAAACAGAGGTATATAAAAGCTGCAGGCTTGATATAATTCAGAGAAACCGTAAAAGGCAGGAAATA